CTCATCTATTTTTTGCTTGATTGAGGGCTGCACAGATTCTGCATTAACGGTAACGTATGGCAAATCTTGAGATAAATCTCTTGGTTGATAGAGTTGCCTCGGGGAATGTTGATGCATCTATTGAGGAAGTTTGATGTTGGCCTGTACTAGGCAGAACTGTGTGTGATCAAGACGAGCACTGGAGGAGTGCCATGAGAAGGTGAAGAACTAATGAGCGTGACTTTATTGGGTGTTTGGTACATTAGGTAACCCCCAAAAGGAAGGGAAAATCTTTTCATTAATAATAACATGTTCAGACAGATCATATTTTTTCCAGTGGAACTGCGCACATCTAGTATCCTTGAAGCATTTCATAAACCCAAGAAACACACCACAATTTTGTTGAGTGAATATGGTGGAATTTTGAGTTGAGATATGGTCTAAGGACAGGGTGAAACCAACTACAAAAAAATCTTAGAAAAGAATAATTGGAACTTGTTAAATTAATTTTGCGATGGTGAGGATGTTTTGAAGAATAGCGATTACAATCTATTATCATGGAAAACAAACATCTCTCAACAAGCCTCCCACCAGAATCTTTAGTGGATTTTAGCCTGTGCTAAGGAGTTTAACCCGTTCACAATAGCCGTGTTCCTTTCTGCTCTACACTTTTGAACTGAGATACTGGACAAGTGTTGTTGAAAATGATTCCTGATGTTGAACTATTTGAGAAAAGGTAGCACTATGGTTTCCACAATCGAAGTAGAGTTGTTTTATTGTGTTCCAAATTGCATTTCGGACAAGATTTTTGAAATGACGAACGAAACCCTTATCAGGCGTCACTTTTGAGTTTGAGAGTATAATATCTAAGTGAAAACGAACTAAATCATCAATGAAATGTATATAAAACGATATTAGAGGATGAAAGTAAGGAGCAGGGCCCCAAAAGATCAGTGTGACATTAATTCTATGGATTTTGCATGTGAATCAAATTGTTAAAGAGCAAAGCATGTGATTTTCAACGTGCAGCATCCATAAAATTTATTCATTGATTTGACAATGACATTGCTTTGTTTACAATGAAACAATACTCTTTTAGATGGAGAGGCCTAGAGTTCCTATGCCAATTCATGCTCTTTTGAGAATAAAACAGGACTGACGCATGACGCGACTTGCAACTTAGCAAAAAGAGAATGCCTTGGAACGTGGAAGTCTTGATTGTGAAGGTTTGGATTTTGTGATGGTGGAACTGATTGACGTGGATACAACTCAAGTTGTCAGACCATCTTAAGGTTTCCCTTGTAGCATCACTATCCTGTTAAGTCATCCTTCCCACAAGACAGAACCAAAAAGAAGATTAAACTCCTAAACATTACCGTATTATCACACCAACGTATAACGCAGCAATTCTTTGTGATATTAGGGCACAGTAATACAGGTATTAAGTATACATCTCCTGCTGAGTAGGTATTTTAAGTCACCCGATGTGATCCTATATCAAGCTTGTCTGGCGCTACACAAGAAAATCTTACCATATACTCTTGTTTCTGATGCAGATTCCCAACTACAATTGGGTGACCATGATGACTTGTTCAGTATCCGCCTACATGGTGTTCTTCAAGTTGTTTAGGTGAGGCATTAAAGCATTTACCTGCCTGGTTTTTTGGGTTGGTCAAACTGGATTTGTATGTTTTGCCCCAGGAATTCTGATCAAATCGGTTCCACAAATTGAAAGGCCGGTGGGCCTATTTGTGTGCAAAATTTGAATGTTGGTTTACTTCAGATATTCTCCTCCCTCTTAACGAAATCTGCCTCTGGAGCCTTTATTTTGTTGCTTTGGTGGGTCTACTCTGCCTCTGACATAACTAAAAGTGGTCACCTGGTTTTCAGGTTATTTATTGCATATGGGCTGTAGCTTAGCTCAACATTGGAGCACCATTTTGAATAGGTATGATTGTTCTAACCGCTGTTCAAGGTAGTAGAGTAGTTCGTCAACTCATCAGGATAGTGACTTTGTCACCGAGTTTAACCACCTATGGGCGAGTACGGATGGTGTTAGCCATGCATCAAGGAACAATCAAATATTTGGGTGATAGATCAGCAAGGCTATTGGCTACGCTAATGTAAGTTGTCTGAAAAAGGCTTTCCATTGTGGTCAATATCCTCCCATCTTCATTCTCCCTTTGGTTGTTTGCAGTTCCACCTTATAGAAAAATGACTCTTGACTTGGGTGTGTGCAACGCCTAGAAGCTCCTTCGCGCATTCCATAGTTCCTGAAGAGCACATTTCTGCATTAGCTGATAAGCGCTATGGCTGGATCATGGTGCTGTACAACCATCCTAATAGCAATTTAATCACTTTGAAATCCAATACTCAACATCTGAAGGGGTATTTGCACTGTACTGACGATGTGGTTCTTGGTAAGACTATGTCAGAGACAAGGCTTGTGCCAAGATATAGCGCAGCTGATTGTTGTCTCTATAGAACAGGTAGACCGTGGTTTCCCATGGAGGGTTGGTTCGGTCAAGTTTTGATGAACCGAGGGAGTAAGTGAGTATTTTGTTGCAAGTTGCATCATCGGATAAAGAAGATGGTGCACTGGGGTACCTGGTGGATTTGCATGTACTGCACCGTGGAGTGTTTGGAGGAGTGGCATGGAGGGTGAGGGGTTGTCGCGTATTGTTTGTATTGTGCTGGCGATTGGCCAAGATAGCTTGGTCCCAAAATAAAATATCAAAAGCTTTTGAGGATACTCTCAGTTAGTTTGCTGAGATTTCATTCCGATTTATCGCAGAATACCCACATTGATCCGCAATACCGCCTCGTGGCGAAGATACAGTAGCAAGGGAGTGCTTAAAACGTTGCGGTACCCATGAGAGTGTACAGGAAATGACAGAGCAGCCAATGAATGTATTGAAGAGATTTGCAATTTTGAAGCCCCGTCCGAAGAAGGGTTTATCAACAAGAATGGGAAAGTCTAATAGTTTATTTCAAGTATTACCATGTGGTTATGCTGATTTGCGATGAAGTGATGGTGAAATTGCTCTTGAATTTACATCAGCCTACAATGGTTCTTTGAAATGGAGAGCGAGGAAAATAGTTGGAGTATTTCATATGATTATGTGGAGGTACTGCCAACAAAGAGGGTCTTTAATTTACTTTGTTTTCCATAGTTGGTTTCTTTTTTTTCTATATTTATTGTGTTAAGTGTATTTGCAATCTCCTTTATGCTAAGACTCATGCATCCCGATGAGATGCTGCAGGGAAGTTGGCTTTCCATTTTATTCTGCTTTTTTTAGTATAGTGATTTCTGAAAATACAGTGCAGATACTCATTGGTAATGGAATATATTTCATGTGCTAAAAGTTTGTGTAAGTAATTTACAGTTTGGGGGTTGGCATATATGAACACTTTGATTTTACTGCGATGCAACAGATATCCAGAGAAGATACACAGTATTTGGTCTATATTCATGATATGATGAAAATCGCATTTTCTTCCATGTCTAAGTAGTCCGAAATCTCTGACTGCGTCATGATAGACGTTAGAATTCATGCAGACTGGGGGTTCTTTAAGAATGTTCCATATGGACCTCTTTGACAATGTAGATTGGTTGGACGGTCATTTGATCCTTGTTATGCTTGAATTTACCCCATTCAAGGTTGCAGAGAGGTAATGAAGTCTTTGTTGAACATTCCTTCAGTTGCATTGTTGGCGGCGCTTGCCTAGTCTGTTGAGAAACTGATGGTTTCACCAGCTTTTTTAAACTTTGTCAATCATATAAATAACTTCATGGGCCACTACTTTTGTTGGGTTAGGTACTTGTGAGCTTTTTAGTGCATCATTTGAGAAAATTTCATGCAAACAGTCTAAAGCGCGGGTTTGACACAGAATTCAGTATCCTAAATATATGGGTAGTCTGTACATATCAGTTTAAGGTGACAGATGCTGCTGTATTTAACATATTGGTTATTAAAAAATTTATTCCTGGTATCTTCTTGTAAAATTTATCCTACATTACTTGGGTTTATGTTGTTTTAACGAAACTAATTCAATGTTCGAAGAGGTACAGGGGCTGAAGTAATGCTCAGCAAGCGGCCATGGTACTATGTAAACTGTTTTTTTTTTTTTTTCTATTTACATTATCCATCTTATATACATGAGGATTGTTACGCACGGGAAATGAACATATCGATAACCAGATGCTGTTCATTGAAATCTTTGGACAGACTCAAAATGGCACCTTAGGCATCTGTTAGGGTGGTGTCATGGATTATATTTTTACATTTTTTAGATGATTTGATGATACTTGGGGAGAAATCAAGTTGGACAATTATATAACCATTAGAGGTTCTAGCCATATTTGTGTCTAATAATGTTACTTCATGTTTATAGGTCCAAAATGAAAAGTGGTTTCAGGGCCTTGGTCAATGGCGAGATGTTGTTGCCCGTACAGGAGGATGAAAGTATGGTCATAGTGCCTAACACAACGCTTCTTGAAATTGAGAAAACTGCTCAATTTGCTTTTAACTGAAAGTATCTTTTGGTATTTCAACATCATTGTGACGTTTTAACCTGATTCCCCACATTTTTTTTTTTGTGATAAAGCCAACAGAAGCTGTTCTCCGGTATTGAATCGAAGTAGCATCCCTATATTGAGCGTATCTGGCTCGGTTGTAAGATATTAGGGATTCTCTGCAGAATGTAGCTTTGAAGGCGTTGATCTAAACAGTTTTAAAAGGACGCATGGAAATGTGAGACTTGCAGAAATAGGTTCAGACAGTACTATTAGTGGTGACTGGTATGGGCTGTTCAGGGGAATCCTTACACTCTCCGCCTGGAATGGATGACTGTTTAAGTGGATAGCAATTTAGACTAGGTATAACTGAATCCAGATTCTCAAATAGTCAAACAGGACATGAGAATTTTTAGATTTGTTCGGAATTAATGTAAATTTGCAGCCTGGTCATTGTAGACCGAAAGAAAAAAAAGAAATTAATTCACCATACGATAAACTTTTTCTACATCTCCCCCATTTGCTACTACTTCTGTAAGCATTTTACATTGTTTTATTGTCATTTTTTGGAGTCGCACCAGACTTTTTGCTGTTGATGATGTCAATAAGCTCCTCAATCCAATACAATATTGTACTTCCAGAGTGACTAAATTTTCAAACGATGTAGAAGATGGCTCTAGAGTGGTCAAATTGTGACAATGAAGGACTTCCAGATTTTTTAACTGTGTGAATGTCCCAACACATTTATCATCATTTCCACATGAGAACAACTCTTTGTATGAACTTGCTTTTAGTTTAAGGCTTTTAAGGTTGTGAAACGTCTTAAGGATTTCAACTGGAATGCTTCTTGATTCGTCTTTAAAGATCTCAAGAGCTTTCACTTGATCAACCTCAGGTTCATCTGGAATTTGGCCTCGGCATATTTGCTTGACGTCCTTTCCAATTAATGTCAATGCCTTCGGATCAAAGTAAGCCTGAAAATAAATAATATAAATCATGTTAAAATTTATAGTTTTGTTAGTATTAGCTTATAGTTTGTTGTTATTTGGTGGGTCAGCCTTAGTTAAGCTGTATAATAACATAATTCATTTGATAATAAAAATCAATAATACATACTTGAAATGCAAATTTAGAAGTCAAAATATAATTCAATTACCATGAAACGTAACTAGGCAATTGCCATTGGTCTCATCATTATTACATCTAAAACTAAATATATATATGGAAAGTGATCACTTTACGCCCCCCTTTTTATGCTCATACTCGTTTTTATATCTCTCAAAGATCCCACCATCTCAGTTTGTAAGGCTTTTTATCTGGTATTTTGCTTCTTATTTTTAATTCATATTACATAAATATAATTAGTTACAAGCCTCTGTCTTAGAATTGGGTAGATGTTTTGATTTTGTTAGCTATACTTGATTTTTGTATGTCAAAAGCTAAGGCTCACTAAGTGTTTGATAAAAGCTCTCAATGAAATAATAAATTTTGTTAGCCACTTGTGGAGTTTTTGAGTTAGGTTTTGGTCCATATTTTAAGGTCAATACTAGGGATTTCCTTCATAGATGAATTTTGGCTTTTTGCTTGAACTTTAGGAAAATTTTTAAAAATTCTTTATAGTAATGTGTGTTCATGGGACTTTCCAAGTTTTTTGGTTTTTCTTCTTTTATTTTTTCTAATGTTTATCCATGCTATGACTATTTTGCCCTTAGACTGACAAATGTAATGGGAATCTATTAGCTTTATATAACAGGGGGTTTTGCGTCATTATAAATACCTAAGTGGTTTTATGAGTTTGGCAAACCTGGAGGCTGGGTTGGTTTAAGTAATAATACCTACATAGTAATAACTTGTCTACTAATTCAGCCATTAGAAAAAAAAAAAAAAAAAAAAAAAAAAAAGTTTGGTACCAAAAGTGGCATATTGTTTTTTTAGCATTATGCAACTATTTTATCGTTCAAAATGGGAGGATTCATATTGAATAATTTTGGAACTGATAGAATTCTTCACTTCCACACCGTCCACATGTAGTCTATTGTTCTATTTAAGAATGATTTTAGAAATAGACAAGATAGAATTATTGACAGAGAAATTGATAGATAAGGGGAAAAATAAATAAATAATTTTAAAGCAAAAATGCAAGAAAGCGATGTTCATTCAATTAATAATCTACTTTAACCATTCACACAAATTAAAGTCCTATTTATAGGCTTGGATACCAAATCCTGGTCCTCTGTGTATGGAAGTTATGACAAAGGTGGTGGAGATAGTGATGGTTGTCTACATGCACATTCGGCTTGACACATGCTGACCTATTGGGTTCACAGGCCTACATGTATGGGGTAAGCATGAGCCCATTGTATACCCTAAGTCTCAACCAATTACTAAATAATGAATGGAACATTATAAACGTATTTTTGATATTTAATGTACTAGTTTACCATTCTTTTTTTTTTTCTTTTTTTTGTTTTGACCTTTTTAATTATTTTACTATTTCTCATCATTATGAAACTATAAAATGTGAATTTACTTATGAAATTTAAAAGATGTAATTTATTTATTTATTTACCTTTTTTTTTTTGCTAATGGTATCTAAATAGTTGTATCTAACTATCTATTAAAAACTAAAAGGAAAGTTATTCTCTTAAGTAAATAAATACATACCTTTTTTTGGTATAATTGTTGTATAGTTGAATTAAGATCACCCTTCAACCACTCATATGAACATTCCCTTACTACTACCTTCCGTAACTTTGGTGCGCTCAAGACCCCTTGAGAGAAAGTCTTCATATTGCGGCAATACATCACTTTTAATTCTTTTAAAGATGGGAATTTTAAAATGTAATTCCCAGAGTGGAAGCACATGAGATTTTCTAAAAACCAGAGTGACAGCGACTTCAATTTGGGAAAATCAATCTCATCTTTTGCTGCATCTCTCTCATCTGCTACTACTTCTATTATCATATCACATCTGCAGATACTCATTTCCCTCAATTGTCGCAAACTTCTGGCAACTGAAGGTGTTATTAAGTTCATCTCTATTTTATGGCAATCTGTTACTGTCAGATGGGTAAGATTTTGAAACAGAAGAACAGGATCCAGCTTGCAGTCTTCTTTCCACAAGTACTTTAGATGATGAAGATGATATAGCTATAAATGTTTTATCTTCATTGGTATTTCAATATGTTTCTCTTCTTCTTTACATGAGAATAATACTTCGTCTGAATCCCCATTTAGTTTGAGCTTTTTTAGGTTGTTAAATCTCTCAAGGATTCCAAGTGGAATCATGCTATCCACTATCAATTCCTTCAAATCGGGGTTGATCTGTGTATCAATTGACAACAGCAAGTTGGAGTTAAACACTAATATTCCAATAGTTTATAATTTTAACAAGAAACAGAAGGGGAAACAAATGTTGAATTGAACACCAAAGACAAACTGACGTGGCAAAACAATGTTTTTTTAAATTTAGATCATGCCTAATTTGAAATCAACTGTTTCCGGTGGTTAATTTTGGAGGAGAATGTCTCATATTTATATTGGATGATGTAATTTTTCATAATAAATTTGTCCAAATCAAGCTACAAATTTATTTTTTTCTTATATATCAAAATTTTGTTAAAGAAAATAAAAAGATAGAAAGCATATATCTAAATTTATTAATGATTCTTTTTTGTTTATTTTCTTTTTCATTAATTAAAGAAAATAGATACTTACCTTTTCAATCAAGAAGAGGGCCGGCTCTGAAATATTGAATTGGGCCTTCGTGTTGTTTTCATTGGAGCTACCACATTCTGAAGTGAATATCTTTACTTTTTTACAATTACAAACCTGTAACTTCTCTAGCAACGGCCATTCCAAAAGATGTCTTCCAAGATAAAAAGTTGTAAGTTTTGGTAGGTTGTCAAGTTTTAAAAATGTTATCCGTGGAAAGACAAACTTAGGAGTTGCTTCTGCTCCATTAGCAACAATCTCCTTTAAATCTCTGCATTCGCAAATCTCAAGGTGTTGGAGGTGCTTAAAGCTTTGAACTATAAAAGTTGGAAATATGTATTTTAGATTTCCACAGCCCAGCACGGTCAAGCTTGTCAAATTATGATAGGATGATGTCATGAATGTTGGAAGGTGGCTGCACCAAATCATTCCAGATCCTATACATTCAAGCTCTAAAGCCTCCAAAGTGGGGAAAACAAGCTGCAGTAAAAGTTAATTGTTTATCCAACATTTTCTCAGATAAAGTAAAGAACTAAAAATTGTTTATATATATAATAGAAAAGTACAAGGTAGCTTACCTTTTCGTCAAACAGTGTCAATTCATCATGTCTCGATTGTGATGTTGATGTTGTCGTCATTCCTGAGCAGAAGCTTCCAAGCCTCGGAAGATGTTTCAGAGTTAGAAAGCGTAATTGAAAGAACTCAATCTTACCGCTGCCATTGTTGACATTCTCCTCTCTTTCAATAGCAAAAATCTCTTTCACATTCTTGCAATCTTCCACTGTAAGTCTTTGAAGTTGTGGAAGACTTTTGGTAGTGGAAAAAGAGACGAGAAATTTCAATTCATCACAACCTTTCACTTCTACGGATTTTAAATTGCAGAGGAACTTTGTTGATGGTTGACCATTACATATCCTCTCCAAATTAATCATATCGAAAAGAATCAGTGACTCCAAGAGGGGGAAGACAAGCTGCAGTAAAAGTTAATTGTTTATCCAACATTTTCTCAGATAAAGTAAAGAACTAAAAATTGTTTATATATATAATAGAAAAGTAGAAGGTATAGCTTACCTTTTCGTCAAACAGTGTCAATTCATCATGTCTCGATTGTGATGTTGATGTTGTTGTCATTCCTGAGCAGAAGCTTCCAAGCCTCGGAAGCTTTTTCAGAGTTAGTAAGCGTAATTGAAAGAACTCAATCTTACCGCTGCCATTGTTGACAAAAATCTCTTTCACATTCTTGCAATCTTCCACTGTAAGTCTTTGAAGTTGTGGAAGAGTTTTGGTAGTGGAAAAAGAGATGAGAAATTTCAATTCGTCACAACCTTTCACTTCTACGGATTTTAAATTGCAGAGGAACTTTGTTGATGGTTGACCATTACATATCCTCTCCAAATTAATCATATTGAAAAGAATCAGTGACTCCAAGAGGGGGAAGGCAGTTACGCATTTTGTTGAGTCAACTAGACACAACAAGTTAGGATTATTATGGACACAGAGATGTTTCAATTGTGAAAAACCATCATTGTCTAATTCTTGAAGACCATTCTTGACATTCTGCAATTCATCTAAACATAAGAATTCAACACTCTTGATTCCCTGCAATTCCGATAAGCAAATTGAAGAATTAAGCTTTAATTTGATTGTTCTCATGTGCCAGTGAAACCCAAAGTTCCAGGGATGCATGAAGCTCACATCATCATGGTTGACTGATATATGGTATCGTTTCAATTCTTTGGAGAAAAAGCCTTTTGGCAAAATCTTCACACCTTTAATATCTATTTCCAGAGCGGTGAGAAAAGACAAACGAAGCAACTCCTCAAGACTAGCATTATTTCTTTCAACATTGGGTCCTCTGACCTCCCATAGAACAGAGCATCCTCTCATGTATAATTCTTCCAACGACACTAAGCTTGATATGACATCTGGTGTGATAACTTGAAGATTCGTACAAAAGCTTAAATCTAACAACCTTAGTTGAGTTAGTTGACTTATTTCTTTAGGCAATTGCTTAATATTACGACAACCTCACAAGCTAAGGATCTCTAGTTTCTTCAACTCTCCTATCATAGCAACTTCTCCAATTTCGCTCCCATCCAAACACAATGTTTGAAGGCCTAATGGAAGACTAATTGATAATGGAAAACAATTCAATCTTAAAACTTTGAGCTTTGCCATCCTCGAGAAAAATTTCTCAGGATATTTGAAAGAAGAATCTTCCATAACCATATAGAAAAATTCAAGTTCTGGACATTCTAAACCTTCAGCCCAATGTTTACTAATAATATCACTACTAGCTAAGGAGATTTTGGTGCACTTCATGAGTTTATCTATATTTTTCCAATCATTTTTAACATCATTTCTCTCTGTAAATACATGATGGTCTTTATATGAAATTGTTATAGCAATATCCCGAACAACATCATGCATAAAAAATCGTTCACTTGAACAATCAAGTAATAAACAAGATTCTTTGAGTTTAAGAAGAAGATCATCTAGACTATCTCGTGCTTCTTCTATTTTAAGATTATTTCCTTCAAGTATATTCAAACCTATAACGAATTTGAACAAATTTGAAATGGAAGCATCATGTGTCATTATACTGCAGAGCAAAAAAACTTTCTTGAGTTTCTCACCTTTTAAATAATTGTAACTCAATGCTATCTTTGAATATGCATCTTTTAGCACTCCATCAAACTCTGATGGGGAAGGCTTTCTCAATTCTCGCAAGGCTTTCCTCCATTGAGATAGTTGTCTCTTTTTCATTAATGCCCTTGCTACAGTAACGATGGCAATGGGTAAACCACCACATTCCTTGCATACCTCATTCGCCAGAGAATGCAACTCACACGTATCAACAACTTCACCTACAAGGGGAATGAGAATTATAAATCAAGGTGGTAGAAAGATAATTTTTTGTTAAGTATGTTGATTAATTTAGAATTCTATAAGAATATATCACAAAATTAATTGAATTCTTTAAGAATATATTACAAAATTAATTCTAAAATGTTGTTGTTTAACATATAAAAAGTAAATATATCTTTTGTTTGTTAAATATTTGAGAATATTTTCAACCGCATAATCTGTAAACACTACTAAAAGGACAAAATAATGAAAATATGTATTATTACGGGATCGTATAATATTGATGCATGAACTGGTATTGATACTTATATATAAAAGTTCATCAGGACGTCCGAGCCATTTGGTTCAAAAGGGCTAAGGCCTACCAATAAGACGACATCAACGTAAAAGTACCTATGTTAATATCATTCTTTATTATTATAATTTATATTATTTTGTTTATCAAATTGCTTTTTCAATAATTCTCAAAACAAAGAGGTTAAATATAAATCAATCTTTTAACGTTTACGTTGATAACAAAAATTTAAAATATCAAATAATACTGAAACCTTAAAGAAAATTTTCAAACGGCGGAGAAAACTAATTGAAGATTCAACCGAAGGAAGATACTTTTATTTCTCCAAAGCACTCCAATAAAAATATAAAGTGCAAAAATTGAGTGAATTGTTATTTCTCTCCTCCTATTTTTTATGAAACACCCCATTCTAAATAATTCTCATTCAAATTGTTAGTATATACTAAATATATGATAAATATCGATTAATTTCAAAGTATCTTTTTTCAAATGATATTTCTCTTTCCAGTTTTCTTGTATAAAATTACTGACACAATTCACCAGCCTTTTGATCATCTTGTGACTGTCTCTTAATGATCATTCATTTGATTTGGTACAATTAAATAGTGATGATACAATTTAAGCGGTGGAATAGAAGTGCCTGTGGCTACCATTTGCTGTTTACGAAGTGTTTAAGGCTTAGATGGTCTTGTTTAACAGTAACGGTGAAATTTGAACCTTTTTTCATGTTTTCAAATAAAACTTTTGGTATACATATTTAATATATCAAAGTTATAGTTAACGAGTATTCGGTGAAATTGAACTATTTTTCATGTTATTATTACTTCAAAAAAAAAAAAAAAATCGATCCAATCACGTAATAAAACCCAGTATTGTATTTTTATGTGTTACAAAATTTAAATGAATAAAACATTCGTTAGAGATCTAGGGAGCACTGAAATGAGTGAAATTTATAACGCACTATTAAAAATTGTGACAAACCAATAAAAATGTACAAGGAAAAGACGTTATTACCTGTCATCTTTCGGAACAAGCTCCAAGCTTCATCTTCCTTCAAAAGGCCAATCGAGAAAGACTTTGAATCCATCCTGTCCAACACGCTTTGATCCCTTGCTGTCAACAATAACTTACATCCCTTATGATTTTCACCAAAAGGAATTCCTATTTTCTCCAGATCAAGATCGACCCAAATGTTATCTAAAATTATTAGGATTGTCTTCTCCTCCTTCAATCGTGCAAATAACTTATCTACTCTTTCAGTTTCAGTCTTCTCATCATCAAATTTCAAACCTAATTTTTTCGCAATTTCTTCTTGTATCCTTCCTATGTTCGGAGCGTCAGTTACCTCTACAAAGATCACCTTATCAAATCGCTTGTCTTCCTTGGCCTGCCTACCAACTTCTCTGACCAGGGTGGTCTTACCAATGCCACCCATCCCATGAACCCCAATAATGTCCACCTCGGCCTCATTTAATGCCTTCAATACATCCTTCAAAGTGGACGATCGTGATTGAAAGGCCAAGTAATCTTTATTCAATAAAAGCCTCGTGTCTTCATGAATGATAGGGCAGGAAACTTGATCGCCGAATGCTTCTCGTAGCTGCAGAAGTTCAGCAACATCCTTCACCTTCTTCGATGCTTTCCTGCTCACTTTGTAGCGGGTTTTCAAGTTGAAACATCGGACGTTTGCTCTCTCTTCAATCAACGTCTCTGCTTCAGGAACGATGGAGTTCACTTTAATTATCCACTGCTCAACAGTCTCTTCAATCTTTTCCACATTGTTTCTAGCAACTTCAACCTTACCCTCCACTCTATCTCTTGCAACCTTCAGCTTCCCAACTTCTCTTTCGAGATTTCTTAAGTTGCTCTTGTGGTTGAACAAGTACATAAAGCACTTGCCAACATCGAGAACAGCACTCACAATACCCGCGATACTCCCGGCAATTTCGACCATTTTTTTTTTAATTTGAAAAATAGAGAGAATGAAAGCAAATGAAATTAAAACAGAGACAATAACAGGACAAATATATATATATTTTTTTTTTTGGTTAAACAAGAAACAAAGAAAATGGGAGATTTTTTTTTTTTTAAGCGGTTAATAAGAGAATTGGAGAGGCGTGCAAAATCAAGCAATGTGGTTTCCACTCAAAAGAATTCTTCTAGCAAAAAAAGAAAAAAGAAAAGATGTGCAGGAGTGGGTGAAGGAGAAGAAAACAGAAAACCGTAGAAAAAGAGGAGCTTAAGAAGGTGGAGTAGAGAGGGATATGAAGGAAATAGGGATCAGTTGTGGTATAAGTCAGAAAAATAATAGCCGAGTGTTTCTTTGATTGGGAGCAACTGCAGAGAGTCGGCTTATAGGCGGAATGAAAATATATCAAAAAAGATATGGAGTATATGGGTTGCTTCACGGGGGATAGAAATAGCGAATAGGACACCGACTAAATGCATTTTCTGCTTAATGTTTAAGTATAAAAAGAAACTCATTAATATTACTAAATTATAATTGTATTAAAGACTCAGAAAACAGGTAGGTCCACCAATGACTTTTTCTTTTTCTTTATTCATGCTGGAATTGCTCCAAAGTTAAAGGCAACTCATATTCCATAAGGATGATGAGATTATTAAAATATTGATGCTCATCAATGATATTTGATTTTCAGGGAAAAGGAATGAACACTCTTATCTTTTCCTTAATGTGTTAGGCTGTGAAGGAAATTAATTGAAAATAAAACTGAGATGACANAAAAAAAAAAAAAAAAAGAAAGATCAGCAGGAGTGGTCTCTGAAGCGGTGAAGGTGAAGAAAACAGAAAAACGTAGAAAAGGAGGAGGAGGTTAAGGGAAGTGGAGTAGAGAGGGATATGAAGGAAATAGTGATGAGTTGAGGGTGTGTTTCTTGGTTGAGAGCAAATGCAGAGAGTGAGCTTACAGCTTAGAGGCGGAATGAATAATATAACAAAAACGATTTGGTGTATATGATAAAGAAGATCTAGGGCGCGTTTGCAGTGCAGTATTGTACTGTACTAAAACGCGTCCTGTCAAAAAACAATTAATTAACATGATAAAGAGAACAAGTCGACACCGAAAGTGAACATGTCAACAACCTTATGCTTTTTTCTTCAAATTAAAGCCAATTTTATGGCTATTAACTTTTTCTTCAAAACAGGAAGAAAACAATAAAAAAATTAATTAACATATACAAATCCAATGCTTGCACAAAATGTCGTGAGATTGTGAAATACATCGAATGTGAAAATAAATAACATATAAAATATATCGTTAATCATATTATAAATGATTAATTTGATAATTTCAACTTAAAGTTTATGACCGTATATAAATAGAAATTTAGTCTAGAGGTGGGCAATTTGTTATTTAATCTCTGTCCTTGTTCTTATCTCAAGAGTTAAAAAGATAATGAAAATTTGAAAGGGAGAACGACTTATACATATCCAATATTTGTCGAAACGACAAGTTGGTACCCAAAAGGTTTTGAAACAACAAATGGGTACCTTTCGTCATGTTCTGTTAGTGTTTTTCATTAGATAATAGTGAAAAGACTAAAATGCCCTTAAAAGTTTAATTTTTAGCTTTTTAAAAATCTCTAAAAAACCCCCTAGGTTTGCTAATTTGACTAAATACCCCAATATATAAAAATTTTATAAAATAACAAATACACCCCCGCCACCACAGTGCCAGATTCCGACCACCACCGCGGGAATCTGACCGGAAAATTGTGTTACGACACAGACCCGTCGGATCTGTGTCGTAACACACCGATGTGGCCTTTTCCGGCCAGATCTGCCACGGATCTGGTCGGAAAAGGCCAGATCTCTGTCTGGCCTTTTTCGGCCTCGACAGCCAGATCTGGCCTTTTTCGGCCAGATCATCCACGGATCTAGCCGAAAAACGCCAGATCGACGTGTTACGACACATATCCAATGGGTCTGTGTCGTAAAACAATTTTCCGGCGAGCTTCCGGTCTCGACGGCCAGATCTGGCCGTAGATCTGGTCTTTTCCGGCAAGATCAGCCACGGATCTTACCGGAAAATGAAAGATCTACGTGCTACGACACAGATCCGATGGGTCTGTGTCGTAACGCAATTTTTCGGCCAGATTCCGGCGGTGGCGGCCGGAATCTGGCACTGCAGGTGGCGGGGGTGTTTTTGTTATTTTATAAAATTTTTATATATTGGGGTGTTTAGTCAAATTAGCAAACCTAGGGGGTTTTTTATAATTTTTTAAATTTATAAAAAACTAAAAATTAAACTTTCAAGGGCATTTTAGTCTTTTCACTATTATCTAACTAAAATCACTAACAGAACATGACGGAAGGTACCTATTTGTCGTTTCAAAACCTTTTAAGTACCAACTTGTCATTTCAACAAACTTTGGGTATGCATAAGTCATTCGGCCAATTTGAAATGATAATCTTGTCTTACACGATGAATAACTGATGTGTTGTGAACACAGTTAAAGAGGCTTTAGAAATCGTTTTATGTTCACAATAATTGTATTAAAGACTCAGAAAACAGCTAGGTCCACCGACGACTTCATCTTTTTCTTTATGCATGCTGGAAAAGCTACAAAGTTAGAGGCAACTCATACGTTGGCCAGCTATATTCCACAAGAATGATATGATTAATATGTATCTGTTTCTCAAATTATACTGTTTCAGATTTTATAAGTTGTTCTTGTTGTCAT